ATCATTAAATAATAGGAATTTTGGCATAGTAACAATGGATTCAACTAATGAAAATATTGTTATTATCCATAAAATAATAAATATAGAACGATAATCAGTCCTCGAAGAAGTCATATCAGTCATTGTGGCTAAAGTTATTGAAGTGATAAAATAACATATAAAAGCTGAAGTATACAAAACGCTTCGTTTTGAAGAAATGCCGGCCGATTTATTACATATTAATATTAAATCGATTAATAAATAAATAATTGCTAAAATGAATGCAAAGAACATGAATACAGCTTGATAATATGAATTATTGAATGGTGAAGATATGGACATTAAATAAATCCATATTATTGAATATGATAGTAAAGATGCAATTTTTAAAAGATTTATGACTTTTTGAATGCCTATATGCGTTGTTGTAAAATTGGAAATTATCATGTCATTAACAGGTTGAGTTTCATCAGACTGATGAGTAGTAATCATAACTGGAGTTGATGATAGTGTTAAGTGCGTGTTTGCTATTGCGCTTTCGGCCATATCTATGACATTCCAATGAGTGATGAAAATCGAGTGAATTAAAAGTTAACTTTAAAGGGCTAAAAGTTAACTTCAAAGGGAATGAAGGGCAAAGGATAAATAGCAACTCAAACTGACAATTTATGTTTGACAGATTGTTTAACGTAAAGTCCCATATTTCGTATATGAAATCGAATTTTAAGTAAGTTACCGTTACACGAATACAAACATGTATAATGACGACAAGGGTGAAAAGATTCGGACCCATAACTTTGTTACCGTTTTTTTGACATGAAAATCTCACACCAATTTTAAGAGATCGCTAAAGCGGGGTTAACATTGTTGATACTATTTATATATCGGCAAACTCCCAATTTTAGATATACCGTTCGCATCCGTCGTGTTCGTCACATGCGATTGATCTGTTACGAATGTAAACGATAGGAAAAATATCGTACGTACGTACGTACGTAGGATAAAGATACTGTATGGGACATATTAGTAATATAAGTTATATATGGTAATTTTTTTCGGTACACCTTAATAAAGCAGATTTACCACGTTTTAATAATAAAGTACGTAATACGTATGATCATATGATCATAAACAGTATTGGCAATTAGGCGAATTTGGACATACAATATTATATAGTTATTGCATGCGAAGTATGCAATAACTGCTGTATTTTATGTTCTCTTCTGATCGTTCGGTAACCCAGCCGTACCGGCTGGGTTACCAACCAATCATCATC